AATATCAGAGAACTTGGGTCACTGGACAGCTCTTGAGTAGTTTAAAAACCTGTAAGAAATTTACAATATAAAGGTATTTTAAGCTTCTTTTAGACCTGAGAAATTGTAAGTTTTCATTTTGTGTATTTGTTTACTTTTTGCAGCTTATTATTCTGTAAAAATCAACATTTCCTTTTTTTTTTTTTCCCCTGCAGTGTGTTCCCTTTTTCTTCCCCTTTTTTAATATTACATATATATATATTTTATTTTTTTTTTTTTTGGTAATCTCCAGCAGCTCTGTCTGTGAGGCACCGAGCAGAGGATTCTCAGCAGGGATGCCCGTAGGTGAGGGGAAGGCTGGGTTTGCAGCCCCACGGCTCGTTTTAGGGCCGTGCTCTTGGGGGGAGAGCAGGAGTGCCGGGACAGGCAGGCAGGGCAGCGGGGCCGGGAAGGGGCCGCCGCTTTACCTGCGGCGGGGTCGGCAAGGAAGGAGCGGGGCCGGTGATCCGGGCTGGGGATCCCTCCAGCCCGGCACAGCCACGGACGGGGACAGGGCGCTTCCACCCGATCCTGCCCCGGGCTGGGACTTGCTGCTGCCGCCTTGCCGTGTTAGCAGTGGGCACAGGCAGAAAAAATAGCACTGCCCTCGCTTACAAGCTCTATACAGCAAAAAAAAAAAAAAAAAAAAAAAAAAAAAAAGGGGGAGGGGGGGAAATGTTGGAAGATAAACAGAATTGCGTCGGTAGCACCCTTAAAATCCTGCTGATGCAACACCCCACTTAATGCCTCCTTTCTTAAAGAAAAAAAAAACTAAAAAAACACCCACTTGTCGTCCTGCCAGAGTTTCACTTATGTTGGTACCAGTTTAATGCCAAGTTTTCCGTAAAACATGATTGTTAAAATACAGTGTACCAGGGGAAGTGTTTTCGCAAAATGCTTCATGATGTTTTGAAGAGAAGGGTGTGGAAATATATCCTTATTCAGCTTGCCTTTACAGTTCAGATCTTTTCAGAATTGTCTGTTTGGGATTTCAGTGTTTTTCCCCCATAGTTTAATACACCACTGATCCACTGGCATTAATGCACGTTATGCAACAGTAGATAGAACTTTCCCAAGTAACCTGCCTGCTGTGTAATTGCTGTCCTTTCTCTGGTGTGCACCAGCTGTAATCCTACAGAGTGCCTGTGCTTCCTTCGGGAGCGATGGGCAAGACTGCTTTGCTTTTATAGATAGATTTTGATAATTATTATTTTTAATTCCTGGAGAGTGCCTTTAAAAAGAAAAGCTCTCTAAATGTTAAGTAAAGCTATTCTTGGCGATGCACTGGAATTATTTTAACGGTAACAAAAAAAAAAGAATTTGTACTACTCTGGATAACTTAATCCTAAAAAATAAAAGTTTGATTGTATTATTTTTTAAAAAAATGTACATGATAATGTTTTATTAATTATTTATTATTTATATAATTTATTATTTTATTAAGGATTTTTATTTATACTTCCTGGTGGCTGCTAGATTAGAAACCACCCCATATTGAAAATTAGCTATATTGTCTGGAAAGCAAAAAATTCTGTTCAGAGGTGACCTCATTGTGGATGTCTGTATCACACTGAACTGAGACCAAAGAACAAGAGATGCTACTCCGAGTTAAAATAGAAGCACATGAATTAGTGTTCAGCAGGAGTATTTATAATGAGTTTCCAATAGGCAGAACTTGTGATAAAGGGAAAGAGAGAGGTTATAGAATTATGTAATTCTGCGGTGTGAAAATACTGGCTCACTACTGTTTACATAATTTGAATTTATTCAGACATACTGAATCTTAAAATAATTTCTCCAACTTCCCTCTTTGGAATTCCATTTCTATTAAGTGAAACTTAGCAGTTGGACTTTGTGTAATTGTTTTCCTCTTTCCTGAATCCTTGTTTTTTAGTACTGTGGTTAACCCAAAGTTAGACAACTTTCAACCCAGTTTCCCCACTGTGGTGACATATAGAATGTGGTAAGGAATCTCCTGGAGCAAGGGCAGCTTTGAATGGGAGAATAGGACTGTACTTGTGTAAAGGTGAAGCACTTTTAACTCTCCAAAAGCACCAGAATTGCCCCTGTTAGGAGTGGGCAGAAGCAGGGAGGAACCACAGCGGTTTCCACATTTATACAAAAGTGAGAAATCAAGGGTAGTATAGAAAGTAAAGAAAAAGGAGATTGTATTTTATATAGAAAGCATAGAAATAAATAAGGAGCTAAAGGTAGTGTCTGATAAACAGGGTGGAAAGTCATTCAGAAAGCTGATTAAATACAAGTGAAACACTGTGAATTAAGCTCCTTGCGTACTTAAGTCCGATCCTTCCCTAAAAAAATAGGTCTGCCTGTTATTTTACATTGGCATTAAAAGTTGTTGCCTGCACTCTAGCATGTAATCTCTCTTTTTCTGTGCAGGGTTCATGTTCTCATTTGTGCATGTTCTGTTAAAATAAATACTATCGAGAATGTCATGCCATTATTTTTAAACAAAAATGATAAGAGTTTTAGCTGGACATTATGGCTGTCTGCTGCTAAGGATCTTATGCAGAAATTTTGCTTGCTTTTACTTTTTAACCACCCAGAATTTAGGCACACATATTCTCTGCATCCACAGTCTGTATGCAATAGAGACCAAAGTTATTAGAGGGGGTCAGAATTAGTAGGTGTCATTTTACCAAAATTAAAATTTGTGGGGAAGTTACTGTTTAAATATCTAGTCAGCTATATCCTGATAATCTTTAGTATGCTTTTACTATAATTCCCTAAAATAAATATTAAAAACATTTTGTGGTTTCACACCTTTAAAAAAAAAATTTGGTAAGGGTAAACCATAGAACATATATTTGGCTCACAAAAGAAATGTTTATTCTCCTCAGAATGCCAGTGGTTGAATATTTTCTGGAGATGTGAGGCTGGATGGAAATGTGTAACAAAGATTCCCTAAATGTGGCACTGCAGGAGTTATTGGAGCTGCGGCATGGCCAGCCATCTCCAGGAAAGCCACACGTGCCACCCTGTGCCTCTGGATGCGGCTGATTCTGTTCACTTTGGGAGCAGAGGGGTAGGAGTCAGGCCTGGGAGCAGGGAGCAGGGCTTGGTGGCTGTGCTGCTCCCAGCCCAGGCAGGGCTCACCGTGCCAGAGGCTGTGCCTGCAGCTTCAGCGGCTGCTTCACGACCTGGGACACCTTGGGCGTGGGATGGAGCCTGTGTGTCACCATCCTGGCCACAGCTGGTCAGTGAAATGCTGCACTTAGAGCAGCCGTATGAGACTGGGGGAGAAGGAAGTGCATCTTGGAAAGAATCTGACTCTGGAGCTCTTTGCTCCATTCCTCGGGATTCAGTGTTGGAGAGCAGCCTCTTTGGGTGGGATAGAAACTCACATCCTTGAGTTCCATTGCAGTTTTTCCTATCACCTCATGACCAATATTTAGTGGAATAAAATATCAATTAATATATTCCTTTTTCCTGAAGAATATTTTATAAACTCTTAGAAAGACATCATATTGACTTTTCCAATCAGTTGAAGCTGCCTAGATACTATAAGAGTACATCAGGAAAGCAGTGACAGCACAAGCAAAATCAATAGGAAGTAAGAGGGACAGCTATGACTTTCCTTAAGTTACTGTGTAATCCCCTTTTTCTTACGGTAACATATTTTCCACAAAGAAGACTCTTCAAGGTTGAATCCAGTACAGTCTCCTCCCTCCCCGCCCCCCCCTCCCACCCCGTGTAGGGCAAATCAAATGCTTGACAACATTTTTTGTTAGGAAAGCACATGAAAAAAAATTTTGAATATACCAATAACAGCAAAAGTCTCTATATTTTTATTGCAAGAAGGAGATTTCATTGGCTGGGTGAAATGGCGAGATGTGACGCAAAAGGACACTTGGACGGTGGAAATGCTGATGTATGCCAAAGCAGGCGCACCAAGAAATGCTGTTGCTATGAGAGAAACAGAGGGAGAGGGAGGGAGGGACAGACCGTGAGAGAGCAACTTGTGGAGGCCTTAGTTTTCCTTTTTGGCTTAGAGCAGAGAGGCTGCAGTGTCTCTCGTTCCTAGCAGAGAGAGTTTAGGAGCTTCCAGTGGGCATTTTCATCAGGCTGAGCATTTAGAGGAAGGGAGGGAGAGGAGAGATGCAGGTCACCTTAGAGTACAAAAGCAATTGAAAAGTAGGAGGCTGTATGTACTGAGCCAATGATCTGTGCTATGATAGATATACAAATTAGTACGGCAGATGAAGCAGCTTAGCTCATTATCCACCTGATGGTACTGAGACTTACAATTCAAAATGACAAAATTAAAATGCAGACACACACAGACATATATTTATAATGACCCCACCTTTTCATCTTAGGAATTATCCAGCTGGGATACCGACGTCTCCTGTGTAATATTCTTGAAGAGCTGCAATAAATTCACCTTGTGAGTCCATTAGCCAGAAAAGGGGGAAAATAATTTGCAGGAATTTTTTTTTGGTCTCTCTTCTTCAGCATAGGGGAAAAAAGTTTGTGCTATGAACTTAGCCGAGCAGCTTCTGGAACGTGAGCCAAAAGGGGCAGGAAGTTGTTTTACAATAGCGTTACAGTGATCTGCCACAAATGGAAAAAGCCAAATGTTGGACTCGGCAAAGAGCAAAAACATCCTTCTCCCCCTCACTTTCCTCCTTCTTGCCCCGTAAGAGAGAAAGAAGGAAAGGAACACTGAGCTAGAGGTTCTTTTTCCTTTTTTAATTACTGCTTGTAAGTAATGGAAAGATTATCTTACTTGCATATTCCATGGCAAGCACGAGGGAAAGAAGTATCAAAGGGACGTTTAAAAAAATGCACTTGGTAACTAGCAACGGGACTTTTGGCGCAATTCCTTGAGTTTGCTTGAGGTTATGGAGGGGGGGGATGGGAAGAAGAAAAGCAAGTCGATGCAGTACGTTTTCTTTAAAAAGGGGGGGGGAGGAGAATGGAGGAGAAACTATATAAAACTTTTTTTTTTTTTTTTTAAGGAAATGTGTATTGATCCTCTGAAGCCGAATCCTCAGGCATTTGTGGCCCGTCCTTGCAGCCCGGTATGTTTTTTGTGAGTGTGTGCGAGTGCTCTCAATCAAACAGCAATCATGGCAGCTGTTTTTCTTCCAGCACAGCAGTTGAGCTGTCTCGCCCAAATGCTTATCAGCTTTTGACTCGGTGCCAAGAGAGTTATAAGGGCCAAGCAGCCTGAGCTTGGCTGTGCAGCTGGTTTGGAAGTAAGGGGCATGAGAAAACAAAATCACGAAGTTTTTTTGTCACATACAGTATTTACTTTCTCAAATAGCCATTTTCAGCTCGGTGGGTTGGGGCTGGTTCTGTGCGTGTGTGTGCTGCAGTCCGTGGTCCTTGCGGACTGCTGTGCGACACAGAGCCGTGGAGGTACGTGTGAGTGTAAAGGGGAGCCTCTTCTCTCCCTATGCATCCCGGCAATATGTCCGTAGAAACCACCCCAGCTTCCCCGCCCTCCCCCCCAGTTAAAAGCTTCATTAGCCGCACTGCCCTGTCAAGCGCATTGCCATAGCGCGGGTGCGTTTACGTTCCAGCGCAGCGCCTTTGCTCCCACCGCTCCCTCCCTCCGGCTCCCCATCGCGGCCCGCGGGGGTCGCGGCGGGGCCGGGCTCGGTGCCGTCCGTCTGCCCATGGCTGCGGGGGATGGAAGGAGCCTGCCCGCGCAGGGCCGTGCCGCTTTCATCATCAGCTCCAGCCCGCTGCGTTTCGCTGGCTCACGTCCTCCTCCTCCTCCGCCAGACTGCTCCAGTCGCTCACAAGGGGGAGGCCGGACTCAGGAAAGGCGGCTGGTGCTCGCATTCCTGCTGCAAGGGCCTCCCCTTCAGACGGCCTTTGCCAGAGCAGAACTTTTAAAAATGCTGCAAATAGGATCTTCTTTTTCCTCTGCTTTCCCGAGCCTTCCTCTCCTCTCCCAGCGTTCCCGACTGGGGCTGGTTCTCGCTTCTCCTGCGTTGTACATCCCAATGCGGAGGGCAAAGCGCCCAGGGCTCGCTCTCTGCTCGTCCCTTTCCCTCTCTCCCTTTTCCTTCTGCTGAGGAAATGGATTCCTTTGGCTGAGCAATGGCTCTTTGCTCTGGCTTTGCTGGTTCGTGTGCTCTGAGGATGAAGCCTTTTACTTGTGATTTTCCTCCCCTGACTCCCAGTGCGCAGTGCTGCTCAGGGAACGAGCCTCTCTCTCTCCCTGCCTTTCTCTTTTATAGGAATATATTTTTAATAGCTGTAGGTATCTGCGCCATGTGAAATAGGGCGGGTGATATCCCTCCAAACCCCTTGTAATTGGACCGTGGCTGGAATGGAAATACTGGGGGGGATAGGGGGTGCACAGGCTGTTTCGTTCTTGCAGACTCACCCCCCCCCCCCTCCTCTGCCGAGGAGGGAGAAGGGGATGTGCAGTAAAATGCCGTCTCTGGGACAGGTGCCAGCTCCTAGACAAAAGAAGTAGAATAGGCGGTAAAGAGGGAGGGGGGGGGAGTTGGAGATTAATAGGCAACAAAAATAGGAATCGAAAATCTCCGAGTGCAGCGCTGGCGAAAGGGCTGGTGCCCGATCGGCCTTTTTTGCTGAGTATTTTCTGTGCGATAGGTGGGAAGGAGAAAGTTGCGGCACACTTTTTATTCCCGTCTCCTCTGCAGACGTTTGGGAGCGTGAAGGGAGGGTGGAGGGAGCCTTTTTTTTTTTTTTTTTTTTCCCCTCCCTTCTTCTTTTCCCTCCTTTCTGCTGAATTATTCATAGTGTCAGTGGTGAAGCCAGGACTATTAGCATGCATCAGACATGCTGTTTGTCTGTTTGCTAACATTCTTCATTCAAGACTTGTTAACTACCAGACAAGCTTAACACGCTTCTCTTTTTCCCCTCCCCTCCTCTCTCCCTCTGTCTCTCCCCCCTCCCTCTCGCCTTCCCTCCCTCCCTCCTCTCGCTTCTCCCTTCCCTTCTGCCTGCCCTGCTGCCTTGCCTTCTTCCCTTCTCCGCCGTCCGTGCCACCCTCGCAGCCGCCCATTGTTGCCGCGGGGCCGGTGCGGGTCGCTGGGCGAGGCCCTGCCCGGCCGCGCCGCCCGGAGCCGCCCGCGGGGACTGCGGAGCCGCATCCAGCCCTGCCGGGTAAGCTGCTCCCGCCGGGGCGCGGGGGATGCCAGCCGGGAGAACCAAGTTTGGGAACTACGTGGGGATCGGCACATTGGCTCGCATCTGCCTGCTCATTTATGATTAACCAGGAGTGCGGGATCAGCCTGGCGAGCTCCGCGCTCGTGCGGGAGGATTGCTTTGCTGGCGATTAGGGATGTGATAGACTAATATTTGCTATTGTGCTGTTTTTTAGGTTCTCTTCTCCTTCTCTATCGAGTCTGCCCCTCCCTTCGCTAGCCTGTTTAAAACCAGCAAGCTTCATTTTCTTAGCAGACAAAGGTCGATCACAGCTTTTATTTCTGAATGCAAATGTTCTAGGACTTGTGCCAGTCCTGCCTTCATTGAGCACAATATAGCTGCTTTCCTGAATGGCGCTTCCCCCTTCCCTTCGAGAAAAATAAAAATAGAAGGGAGCTTCAGAGAAGAAACAAAGTTGGGCGGTGCAAGTTTTTTACATTTATTTAATATTTCAGCCTGTGTGGAGCGTTATTAAGCATCCCTGTGCAGAGCAGCTCCAAGGCAGCCGCCAGCCAGTGCGTGGGGTGTTTGTAGGGGCACACACAAGAGAGGGGACGCGGCCGCATTGCTCAGCTCCTGGCTCTGCAGGTAACTATGTGATGATCTTCAGGCATTGTATCTCATCACGGTTGTGCTTCCTGATTTTCCTAGCAGCGTGAATTTGAACATAAGTGTTTCAGGGTTCATATTTAAATTTTGTAATACCTGGAATTGTTTGGGACCAGTTTATAATTGCTGTCTTTATAATATATTTTTTAAAACTATTTTTCGAGGCCTTTAAAAGTCCATAAGTGCCATAAGTGTATTTTCTTTTTCTCTTCTACTTGCGTGCACAGGCACATGCTCACGCATACTCCCACTCTCTTTCTCTTCTGGTGTTAATGAAGGAACTTATTTTAAGTAGAACACTTAAATATTAGAATAACGCCATTTATAGACCAAAGAATCGTGTGGACATAGATGTTCTGAGTTAGGCGCAATTTGACAGATGGTTAAATGCTTCAGATTTATTACTACTATGAAATTACCAGACCTATGATAATACTTACTTTGAATTCTTTATATAGACAAGTCCATGTGCAAATTAAAGGATCTGGAAATGAATATATTTTAAAGATACTTTACGAGGAATCTATTCCTTTTGTATATATTTCTAAAATAAAATGCATTTTCTACACTGGAAAAAAATGGCATACTTCTGTAAAATATTTTAATCTCCTCATTTTATTTACATCTAGGATTCAAAGTAAATAACTAAAGAAATGCAAATAAGTTTGGGGGGGTTTTGTCCACAAAACAAATAAAAAACCCCCACAAAATAATTGAAAAATACCTAGTGCTTATACACAAATAGTTTTAAATTCAGGCCATTGACAGCATTGTATCAAAATCATCTCTGTATTGGCTTTACATTAGAAGTGTTTTATGGCAACATAAACTGAAATACAACTCATAACTGTAAGTAGTAAAAGAGTATTTATTGGCCGATCACTCTAAAAGTAGCTGGAGAATGTTTTAGTTAACTGTGTAGATTAAGAAAGGAATTTAGGAGCATATGGCTTGGTGATAGCTAAAATTAATTTCTTCGAAGGAGTTTTTAGAGGCCTGTAGTAGCTGCACAGTACAATGCAGCTAAAATACTAGTTGAGGGTTTTAACTCGCAGTCGTTATAAAATCATAAACTGCTGAAAATTCCTCAACGAGAAATTTCAGAGTACTCAGTGGTATTGCTCCTAATGATGCTGTTTATCTAAAGAGGATTTTTTTTTTTATCCTTAAGTTGTAATACTTGGGGGGCTGTTTTGTTGCTGAGGACTAGCAGTTAAAGGAATAAAAAATTGCTTCTGGTGTATTAGTTCATTATTTTGTGGTGGCTTGCTAGAAATGATGTCTCTAAACATAAAATAAGCAGAATTGCCTGGTTCATTTCGCAGGGAGGATTTCTGTAAGCATACTGAGAATGAGCATAGTAGTGCACAAAGACCATGTGCATGTTAATTGAAGAGGGATTAAAATCTGTTCATTAGATTGGTGATTTCCAGGTTTCAAAATTAAAATTATTTTTAGTCTGTAACTTGAAATACAACTGCAGATAGAACTATTCAGCCCCTCAGATGAATGCCTTCAGGAATTATGCACGTGAGCTGGAGCATTTACATTTTGAAAGTGTTTTGCGTTGGACTGCCAAGATTCTCGTACAAAATGTTTGGTGCATGGAATGAAAAATTAGAAGCATAGACAATACTTTGCTTAATTAAAATACTTTTTTTTTTTTTTTAATAGCTGGCTAGGATGAAGTTTTGCATATTTTCAGTTAATAATTGAGGGAAACAGTGAAAATAATCTACGATGCACTGTTTTTGCTCTCAGTTCCGTCTTTCTCACTCATCCTCCAAATGGATATTTGTCCTCCAAAAGGATATTTTAGATGTTGCTGATAAGTGAATGGTCCATTCTTAAGCTCCCACCTATCTTGACCAAAAATCTGTCTTTTGCCAAGTGATAGTGGGGCAGGGAACATGAGGGCAAGGTCCATGTTTTTCAGGCCTGGCAGGAGTGCCGTGCTCCGTGCGTGGCACGGTGGCGATGCCGGGGGAGCGGGCTGATCCCCGGGGAGCGGGTGCACAGCCCAGGCAGGAAGGCTGCCATGGCATCCTCGCTATCAGAGATGACGAGTGGGGTGTCTGCTGAAACTTTTTAAAAGTAACTGCGGGTGTGTCAGGTGCACACTGCCAGGTCTGGACCAGGGTAAGAGAGATTTTATTGTAGGTGAAGGAGAGGGAGAAGGGAGGAGGTGGAGAAGAGAAAGGAAAAGGGAACAGAGCTGGAGTTAGCACACTATGTTAGATACACTATGGGTGCCATCCCAGGTTCTCATCTTCTTGGAATA